ATTAGGATGCAACAGATGCAGAAGGGAGTGGCATTGAGCCTATGATGTTTGTGATGCCTTGGTATTAATGACTGGGCGCATGAGTGACAATTAACAGTGGAAGGATCATATGGATCAGCCTAAGTGGAATTTCATGGCTAGGCTAAAGATGGTGATGTACAAATGTAAGTATCAGGCCCAGACATCAAATTCTAACTCAGCCAACTAGGCCTGATCCTTGCATTTGTACATCACCACCTTTGGCTCAGCCATGAGAGTCTACCTCATTGCACTAGGCAAGTAAATCAATTTCTGACATCACACTTAGGCCCAACCATGTAATCATGCATGGTTCAGCAAGTACAACCCTATAACATGGAATATGAAGCTATGATCTTATTTCCAATTGACAGCATCTCAGACATTGAAGTTCAAAAAACGACCACTTGGCTGAACACAACTCTGATGAGCTTGTAAGCAAACCGACCATGAGCATATGTCAAGGTGTAGTTTTATAAAAAAAAAGAATTTTATTATTGACGGGTTTCAAACCTGCACAGTCCAAGAGAAACGATTTTGACTCTGATAATCACTAGCAATTTCATCTTTAGCAGGTTTTGAACCCACACAGACAGATTTGAAACAGATTTGGATTCTGTTGTAGCAACTGTTTGACTAACACCAGTTAGATGCATGTTTAAAGAAAACATTCAAAAGTGAATCTGCAAGGCAGGTGTACCGTTCTCTGTCACTCGCAATGTTTTCCCTCAGCTGAACAGATGAATTGAGTACAGAGTGCAATACAACATTTTCAAAAAGCGAGAGAAGAGCAACATGATGATGAAAGGTCTTGAATACAGTATACTTCAACCTTATACATAAGTGAATGGTGGCCAGATGGTTCTTTTGAATCTTTGCCTTGAATCCCAGCCTTGACACATGTGTATTCTTCTTCATTCCCCAGGTCATTAGGATCAAACTTGAAAGTTTGATGTGTAATCTGCTCTTCTTCTTCAACCAAGTCAAGACCTTTGAAGAAATCTGTCTGTGTTTATGATTGGCCCAAGGACTGTGTTCAGATGTATATTCAGTTTTGGTCAGCACTACAATCACACCACTGACATCACTTTCCTGACTCTATACAACCCCAAAGCATAATTTGAGGCATTTGTGCTTAGGATGCAGAGCCACATCACATGGAGCCCAGAGATGTTCTTGGACACAGAAAAGTGCATCCACAAACACCATATAAAGCAGATGTTTGAGAGCGCGAGCTACGGCATAAAAGTACACATGAGTCAATGTCAAGGTGTGTTCTAACAGAAAGAAGAAGAAAAACATACATCATTCATGAGGAAATGTCGAGGTGTGAATTCGTAAAATAAAAATGTTATCACTGGCAGGCTTCAAACCTGCGCAGTCCAAGAGAAACAGATTTTGACTCTGATGATCAGTTGTTAATTTCAGCTTTAGCAAGTTTTGAACCCACACAGACAGATTTGGATTCTGTCGTATCAACTGCTTGGCTAAGACCAGTCAGATGTGCTACCAATGAATCCATTCAGAAGTGAATCCTCAATGTGCATTTGTCTGCATTTTGTCAGTTCTAACAATAATTTCTAATATCCTCCTTGAGTCAAATCATATGTGAATCCTCCATGCTATTGAAAGAACTGCCTTTAGGATTCACTTGTGAACAGGTCCATTGGAAGTGCATCTCACTGGTGTTAGTCAAGCAGTTGATATGACAGAATCTAAATCTGTCTGCGTGGGTTCAAAACCTGCTAAGATGAAATTATCAAGTGATCACCAGAGTCAAAATCTGTTTCTCTTGGAATGTGCGGGTTTGAAACTGGCCAATAATGAAATTATTTTCTATGCAAACACATCTTGATATCGTCTCATGAATCATTTTCTCAAAAACTCATCTCAACTGATGTTAGCCATGTCATTGCTAAAATAGATTCAAAATCTATTTCCATTGAAGTCTGCAGGTTTGAAACCTATTGAGTGACACATTTTTTGTATTAGAACATGTCTCAGATATCTGCTCATAGACAGCATTTCAAATGTTGATCTTCATTGGTCTTAGTCAAGTTATCACCAGAGTCAAAATCTGTTTCTCTTGAACTGTGCAGGTTTGAAACCTACCAACAATAACATTTTCATTTTTATTCTATGAAATCACACCTTCGCACTTCCACATGAATCTTAAAATGAATTGGAAGGCCTCAATTTTCTGGCGGCATCATGACTTTCCTGGAAGAGAAACCAAAAAAAATTCAAAGCTGGCATATGGAACCACGTTCCACTGCTAGCCTTGCAGCGGCTTGTTTTATGATCCATGTCAACTGTCGAACATTGTCCGAGTCACTCTCTATCATATCCAACTCGATATGCATCAAACCTGAAAATATCAAACATCAGACATTAGGTTTCACATCGGCCAATCAGATATCAAACACACTCATGCTACCTATGTCTCATCCCATCCTGCTAGTCCTGCTAGGTACGCAGTTCATTATTTCTCACATTACTCACATCATACACGGTGTTATTACATGTTTTCCCATAGTCTGCAGCACCTCTTGTCTTATTACAACTCAACTAAGACTGATGAAGATCAGTGTCCAAGAGACTGTCAAGGTGCATTTTCATGAAATAAAAATGTTATCATTGGCAGGTTTCAAACCTGCGCAGTCAAGAGAAACAGATTTTGACTCTGATGATCACTGGACAATTTCATCTTTAGCAGGCTTTGAACCCATGCAGACAGATTTGGATTCTGTCATATCAACTGCTTGGCTAAGACCAGTCAAATGTGCTACCAATGAATCCATTCAGAAGTGAATCCTCAATGTGCATTTGTCTGCATTTTGTCAGTTCTAACAATAATTTCTAACATCCTCCTTGTGCCCAATCAAATTCAAACCTGCTCAGTCTAGGATAATCAGATTTTAAATCTATTGCGGCAATAACATGGCTAAGACTTTTTTTGAGAAAGTGATTCATGAAGAAATAAATGTCAGGGTGTGATTTCATAGAATAAAAATATTATCATCAGCAGGTTTCAAACCTGCGCAGTCCAAGAGAAACAGATTTTGACTCTGGTGATCACTCGACAATTTCATCTTTAGCAGGTTTTGAACCCACACAGACAGATTTAGATTCTGTCATATCAGCTGCTTGGCTAAGACCAGTTAGATTCACTTCCAATGAACCCATTCAGAAGCGAGTCCTCAAGATACATTTATCTGCATTTTGTCAGCTCTTTCAATAGCATGGTCACTGTTGATTTTTTTTTATCCTACTCTTGTTGCAAAAGACACAGACTTCCTGCTGGGGCTCTTGGCTCTAATGATTTCCCTGAAAAAGTGCTGATGGAAGACCACCACGGTGGGTCCATGAGTGAAAACTGACAATGAAAGGATCATACAGTGTATTTTTATTTTTGACGCAGAGTTCAATATATGACCAAAATCTCGATGCAAACTTGGAAGGATAAGTACAATAACAATATAATTCTTTCCAAAGGTCTTGACTTGGTTGAAGAAGAAAAAGAGCAGATTACACATCAAACTTTCAAGTTTGATCCTAATAACCTGGGGAATTAGGAAAAATACAAATCTATTAAGGCTGAGATTCTTTATTGTGCTTATTCAAGTGATTGTCAGAGTCAAAATACATTTCTCTTGAACTAAGCAGGTTTGTAATTTGTATAATGATGTGTCTTTTTCATTAACTTGTGATTCATCACATTCCACCATTTTGGATTTCATAGAATAAAAATGTTGGTATTGGCGGGTTTTAAACCTGCACAGTTGAAGAGAAACAGATTTTAAATCTGGTGACAACTTGACCAAGACCAATGAAGATCAATGTCTGAGATGCTGTCTATGGGCAAATATTCAAGACACATTCTTAGAGAAAAAATGCAACATTTGATAAGTTTCAAACTTGTTGCACTCTGATGGAAACAGATTTTGATTCTGTTATGACAGCCACTTAGCCAAGCACAACTGTGATCAGCTTGCAAGCAAATCAACCATGAGCAAATTTCAAGGTGTGTTTTCATAGAAAATAAATTTTATCACTGGCAGGTTTCAAACCTGCACAGTCCAAGAGAAACAGATTTTGACTCTAATATTGATCACTTGGCAAATTCATCTTTAGTGGGTTTTGAACCCACGCAGGCAGATTTAGATTCGGTTGTATTGACTGCAATGAACCCATTCAGAAGCGACTTACACACTTTTGCCTATTTGCTGTGCTTCCGACTTGCTTCCGCGCGCTGAGAACACACTTAGAATTACTTACATAGCACCGTGTATCTTTTGACTGTGAACAACTTTCCACCACCATCTTGCATATTTTGCACCTAAGCGCAGAACATTGCACTATTGTCTAAATACTTCTGCTTCATCTCAGAACTTCCCCAGGTCATTAGAATCAAACTTGAAAGTTTGATGTGTAATCTGCTCTTTTTATTCAACCAAGACAAGACCTTTGGAGAGAATTACATTGTTCTTGCGCTTATCGTTCCTAGTTTGCATCAAGAACCCCCTTTACTACTAGCCATAGGTTTACAAGGTAGATTGCTAAGGTCAAGTTAGAGAAACATACATGGTATCTACAGGTATATAAGCATGATGTTGAAGCAGAGCTCCAATATAGAATAGGAGCCTGAATGGTGATTGTCCAATGGGAATAATCGTAGTAAGAGTCGTACGATAATGTGGCGTGGGAATTAGGTAGAATGTTCTGTGAAGTTCTGTGAATAAGTGAAAAGGTGATAAGTGACTATGTGAAGATGTGAAAGGGTGAAGAGGTGAAGGGTAAGCCTAAGAACTGTAACATCAGCAGGCTTTACTTCCTTTGTTTGTACCACCCCCGAGAATGATCAGTTCAGAGCACCGTCTGATGGAGAATCTAACTTCTATGCTGCGAATCTGTCGCAAACGCGCAAGCTGGAGACTCAGTGACGGTGTGCGGCTGAAAGACTCGATGCTATACGTCATGACATTGTAACCATGGAGGTGAAGCTAGGAATTATGCATTGTTGGCAGCCGTCATCCCCAGAGTACCAAGAAACCCTCAAATATATGTGCGTTTGCAAGTATCACAAGGCGTTGGATGATCTTCAATGTCTTGTTGTTCAGCATCTGTTTGAGTTGCAGAGACTTAATGTCTCACAAACAGGTATGTTCCTTTTTTCTTTGTTGATGTGTAACTCAATTCACATAGCATACAAAATGTGCACACATATCGCCAAGTCTCTTCAAGCACGCTGCCGTGCCATTTAAAATGCGGTTCAGAAGTACAATAACGCTGCTTCAGAACTACAACCCCACGACCGGCACTTGAATGGTCCAAAGTCTCACATTACAACTTCTGCCTCACAGCGCTCTGATATCCTGATGAAACACCATGATTACTCTACTGCAGGCCATCCTGGCTGGTTCAAGACTGAGGAGTTGGTCAAGCACAACTATTGGTGGCCTGCTATGGGCACCTTTATCCACATGTATATTGATGGCTGCGCCTTGTGCCAGCAGATGAAAGTTGACACTCATCCTACCACCCCCCCTGCGCCCAATCCCCTCGTCTGCCACCCAGCCCTTCTCCCAGGTGTCAGTGGACCTAATCACTGATCTCCCTCCCTCTCATGGGTTTGACTCTGTCATGGTTGTGGTAGACCATGGCCTTACGAAGGAGGTAATTATTTCTCCCTGTAACAAGAATAATACTTCTGAAGGAGTGGCCAAACTCTTCCTCAAGAATGTCTTCAAGCACTTTGGGCTTCACAACAAAGTAATCTCTGACCGTGGCCCACAGTTTATCTCAAAATACTAGCTCACCTCCTAGGCTATCAGATTACAGCTTCCACTGCCTATCACTCCCAAACAGATGGACAGACCAAGTGACTTAACCAGGAACTGGAAACCTATCTGTGAATCTATTGCAGGACCAACCCCCTAGAATAGTCTGACTATCTTCCCCTCATGGAATTTGTCCACCATCATGATAAGCATGAAGCCAGAAACACCTCCCCTTTCTTCTTGATGATGGGTTATGAACCATGAGGGATTCCCCATATCTTATCTTCCTCTGATGCCCCTGCAGCCAAAGAGCGGCTCAGGTCGCTGCAGAAGATATACGAAGAAGCTATCTTATGCCACAACATCGTCATGCAGAAAATGACAGAAAGATCGCAAAGGAAGAAGTACTCTCCTTGGAAGATAGGAGATAAGGTGTGGCTTATGGCTACCAATCTCCTGACCTCTCTCCCATCCAAGAAGCTTGCGCCCAAGCGATATGGACTGTTTCCCGTGACAGCAGTCTTATCTCCCATCATCTTCTCCTTGAAGCTTCCTGAGCAATGGAAGGTTCACCCCATGTTCCATGCTTCTGAGCTATCTTCCTATTACAAAACAGAGATACACAGACCGAACTACACTGAACCACCGCCTAATATAGTCAATAGTGAAGAAGAATACAAAGTAGAAGCTATCCTTGGTCACAAGGGCACAGGTAAACAAAGACACTATCTGGTATCATGGGTCGGATACTCTTCCAGAAGCAACAAATGGATCCCCAAAAAGAACTTGCTGAGTTCCAAAACCCTTCTGACTGCCTATAATGAAAGGCACAAGTTGGACTGAAGCCCCTCATCTCCCGAAACCAACTAGTCATGACTCCTCCCCAGACACCCTCACCCACTGAATCCAATGTCTCCCACCTCTCTCTGCATGACACATTCTACAAACAAAATATCGTCAACGTTAAAGATGACGTCATCGTTGAAATAACCCTACTCTCCTTAGCCCATGCTGAAGAACTTGAGAGGCAGTTAGCAAAACAGCCTGCCCACTTAGCTGCACCAATTCTGTCCCAAATTCATGTCATACGCACCACCCACTCGCTTGAACTCAGACTTCAAGAAATTACCAACGACACCCTTAGATTATCCTACCAATACTTCCAGAGATGCATTCACATACTTATGCTGCAGCTTCTTCCTGGTTCTTTTAGCGACATCTGCAAAACAGTTATATGAACTGTTGCAGAGCAAAACAAGACCCAAGTTGATCGCTCACCAAGCACTACTGCTAGTGTTACCCCCACTAGTGTACCTCTTCCAGCTGAGGTTAGAGAAGATTCTCAGCCGCTACCCATTCCCCTGCCCACTATGGCCTATGAGAGAAAGACCTGCAGAGGAACAGTCGTTCGTGGGATAACAAAAGTCAAGTCCTCCAAAGGAAAGAAGCACAAGGTAATTGACCTCACCACTGAACCATCTACATCCACTATCACCATAAAATGGCCCGACCTCTCCGTGGACAACTTTGTCTGCCATATATGCAAGCAGCTCAGCCACCATCATAAGAGCTGCCCCCATTACTATTGTAGAGTGTGCCAAACCCATGTGCTGGGCCATTTCTCCATCTACTGTCCTTACACTCCAAAGAAGGAGCAATTTCTGTTGGTCTACACCGACAAGGGATTTTACAATGCCCTGGCGGAATGGGAAGCCAGGAAGGATAAAGAGCTTGAGGAAGAGATAGAGCGAGCTAACCGGGAGTATATGGTACAATCCGAAGACAACATCATCTTCCATAACACTGATGCCAACCCTATCTACTACGCCAACCAGGACAATTGAAGTCATAGTTGGTGACTTCAACCATAGTAACGGGGTAATGTTACAATAACATTTAGCCCTATTCATTTTCCCTTATCACTTACCAAGCAGGCTGTCCACACTATGTTTGCTATCTCTCATCAAGTGGGCTGTCCACCTCATGTTCTCTTATCTCAATAAACACCATTTACAAGCTCCACTTGAACATTCACTATATAGACAGCAGATACATTGATTGTATTCTTTACTTTAATCTACTGGGTTTTACCTAGAACTTGTCCTTCAGTAAGGTTTCCAACCTTACTGTCTAAAGAACTGCTATTCTAAGGAAGTCGCCTACACTCACCTTAGCCAGACACCTCGACCTCTTATTCAAGAGAAGAACTATGTCCATCTTGCTGCTAGCAGAACGTCCATTCGGACACAGATGGCTCAACTTATCCCAGTCATAACAATAACCTTTCATGATGAGAGGCTTAAGGCAGACATTAGACAGAGCTGAATATATTATTATTATCTTAGTCTCAAGGTAAGGAACTCCTGTATGTACCTAGATAGAATATTATTCTAAATGATCTTGTCAGCTCATAACATAAACAATGGTATAGGTACTCACATCTCAGTCTTGAGGTAAAGGACTGAGATGTTTTGATGTTGGTACTGTAAATTTTATCATATGGGTAGAGTAGGACAGAAAATATGACTTTGAAACAAAACATTTGGGAGGAAGCTCAGCCAACATTACTCTGTGCTCGTACCTGTTCCTCCACGTCCTGATGCCATCAGATGCTCAGACTCTAACACTCATGCATAAATAGAATATAGTGGTTACTAGTCTGAATCTTCACCTGTTCCCTAACTTTCAATTTTCAAACAGCTGCTCTCACTCTTGAAGTGCAATTTATGTGCACAGATTTCTGTGTCCAAAAGAGGTGAGTATTGGAAGCACATCCACTGAGCTTGCAGAGTGATAATATTTTCAGACAGATGGGAAAATATTTGAGGTCAACAAAGCCCTCTCTCACTAATGTGGGTGTCAGGAATCTCCTGAATCAACATCAACTTAACTCACTTAGCTTGATACTGGTTTGCTCTCTCCCACATCATTAACCTGGCACATCTTATATCTTTTTGGTGTGAAATATAATGGAACATATATATTCATATACCTTCACATTTTTCTGAATACATTCCAGTTGAAAATTTTAATAATACTCAAGTATAAAGAAGTCTGTTCAAGGGCAAATTAAGCATTGTAGGGTTTTCCTGATGCATTCCAGTAGTCAGCAGCCTATGCAAGTTTATTGTTTTGAGGAATATAAGTGTAGTCCTGGTGCCCTTTCTGAACTAGGATAGACTTGGAAGTTGCAGAACTTGCCCTTGAAGCAACACTCACCAGTAGACAGACCAGCTTCTGCAAAGACTCAGCACATCAATCAGACCAACAAATCTACATTCTCAGAAACTCCTTGAGGCTTCTCATTTTCCCAGATGCCCTCCATTTGCATGGTTTCTGCACTTGACTGCTGCTTCGTTGATATTCTTATTCACAAGAACACTTCGATAAGCGCTTCTTGAGGCAAACAGCCCAAGAGGGTCCATCACAATTGCATGTGCTCTGGTATAGAACACATAGTACTTAATTTCAGGCTCCGTATGAGCGAGGTGCAGGAAAATAATCCCCGTGCTACAGCAAGCTTGCAAAGTCAGAAGTTACAAGCAAGTCATCTTTGCAGTTCTTCATGGAAGATACTCACCAAAGTATTGCCGCAGTGCGGAAGCTACATGCATCAAAAATTAGCTCACTCAGAGGTATCTTATTGAGCATAGTGGACGTACAGGTGAAGTATAGTAGCGACAATTGGATTCGCGACTTCAAGTTGCATCTTGGGCATGAGATGCAACAAGTAGAGGATACATATTTTTGTTTCATGTCAGACAAGACGAAACACTGCCATTACAAATTATGTGTTGTACCTGAACATGTGACATCGTGAGTCCGCAGCTTTGATGGCCAGAATAGCATTCACATCGGCTCAGTGAGGCTACTGTCCAATGCCTCAGCAGCTGGCGGTGTGTATAAGTATACCGCTCAGTCCCGATACTAGCATCATTTTTCACCTTCATTAGTGCAGTTGAACAGTATCATGTCAAACTTACCCGAGCCTCCTCCACCGTCGACTGAGAAGTTGACTATCAAGAAAGTGTTGCGAGTCATCGGTACTGGTATCGTTCTCCTGTAAGCAATCAGTTTGTAGAAAGGATCTGTAATATGAAACTGACCACTACTCCTCGACAGTTCTAATATCATTAATGGTTTCTGGTGAATTGTGAATTTCTTCTTGACTATGATGATCTAGAATTTGCAAGCCAGCATTGCAGTCGTTTTTATCTATCTTGGCTCAACCATTCCAGTACTGACATCATATGCCGACTATGTTGCCATGTACATGCTTGGGGCAAGGACCATATTTCTCGCATGCATGTTTTTTGTCGGATGCTATTGGTGCTGTCTTCCACTAGTGGCACCGAAGCAGGCCGGAAGCAGTATTTCCGAGTGGGGTCCGAAAGCGCAAGCACAGTTTCTCGAAGCCTTGAGTCCAAGCAATGGAAAATTAGGCAGAGTGGGGAGAATATAGTACGCATTTTTCTGCATTGGATACTTTAACGCTTTTCAGACTGATCAGTTCCGTTTGCGACTTACAGTTTTGGTGAGCCGTTCATGCTAAACCGAAAGAGCGGCTGGTGATGTTCTTATCATTCCAGCTACGACGGGCGTAATTAACGCATTCAGTGGCCTTTATCATAGCTTCTGCTTCTGGAAAGAACCCGGGTTCAGCGTGCGCAAGCTTGTGATGAGTGTGGTTTTCCTCCTTTGTGCTGCCTGGTCAATCCAATTCGCCTATGTAGGAAGGGTGTCAACGAAGAAGGGCACCAGAGGCGAGAACAGTGGGCAATGATTGCAGTCAACCTAAATTGAATGAGCAGGCGAATATAACGATGACGCCATAGCTCAGTAAAGTGGTTGTCATACAGGAAGCAGTGGAAAGGGTGGTATGGTGGTAAGTCAGCCGTCTCCTAATGCATCATTGTGTAACGTTGAATATTCCGACAGAAATGTGTTAATCTATGCATAAATTAGTACTCTTTTGTGATTGAGATGATACAATATAATTCACCTCCTCCGCAGTCTCGCCACTCATTCAAAAGTCATGATAGGTAAGTATTTGTATCTGAAGAACACATGAGCCAGGAACAAATAAAACTCCAAAGAGTTTCTGTTTGGGTAGTGACTCACTAGTAGCAAGACATGAATCGTCCCAAACTGAGAACATTTGGTGCCACAGATTCGCCATGGATTATCTCAACATCTGTTTAGGGCGAACTTATGAACAAATGCCCGGGTCATTCGTCTATGGTGGATCTTTGGTGACGGTTCGATTTGCCATCATGCCGCATACATTTTTCATAGTCCACTGTATTTATCGTTGTATATACCAGACCGCACACAACAATAATATGAATCATGTGTCACAGTGGGTGTCCAGGTTTGTCCGAGTTGATCACACATGTTGCCGAAACCTTCGTGCTCGCTGTGAGCAACAGGGAGCTTGACTACTGCGGTATTTGACCAATTGGTCTCGTTGTTTTTTCAATGTTCTATGATACTTACGTCCTGTTTATTTGTTTACAAATAGGTCGAGCTCATCGTCTCGCAATCTTCTTATATCCAGAGTATCAATTGCAGTGTGTCACAGTCGAATCACGTGCACAAACACAATTCTCTGTCATGGGTACGTGTTGAGACGTTGATCTACTGCTATCTACTGATTGCACTTCGATGTCGCCCACACACTTCAGTGTCATCTTGTGGCAAATGCAGATTGAGTCTACCGTGACTGTCCAGTTCTTATTCCTATTCGTAAGTCCTTACTCCAGCTTCTGCGTGACTCGTTTATTTTTCATAGACAACATGGTTGGAACTTAGTGACCAATCGTGATTCACTGCCATTCTCGCCCACTTCCTGCCTAAACTGACAAGCCCATGCTCCTTCCTGTGCCCTACCAGTACGCATTATTGTTGTTGTCCGAGGCAGCACCAACTTATTGGAGTGAACAAGACATATTTACTTCAAGGATAGTACACGTGCAAACTAGTGGTATATATACAAATATCATGCTGCCTTGAGCCTAGTCTGCAGTGAGATATCAGTAACCGATGAATAAATAGGAAATTGTACGAACCTTGCTTGGCTATGATGAAGGGCTGCAAACCAAATGCTTGACAAAAGACATTGCATTTATGAGTCATTTTGAATGCGCGAAATGCCTCAGTGCAATTTCTTTCACCGAAGTTACTCATGTAGTCACTGCAACCAACTTAGCATTACTCAAAGACGAAGGAAATACAACGAACGGTCCTGTCATAACTTGGCAGTCAGTAAGGAGGTCTCCAGAACCTGAATAGTTGGTTAGAATACAATGAATGCGAGTGTGCAGGAAGATTACCTTGGAAATCAGACAGATACACGACTTCATTTGTGAGCTGATATTGTACATGCTGGGCGAAGCATAGAAACAACCCTATTTTTTCCTCTTCGCCCTGTAGATGATGAGCAGGAGCTGCAGAATTGTTGTTAATATACTTGATAAACTTGCCCTCGATTCTTTCTTCTAATAGGTATGCTGCTCCAGCGCAGTCCGAAACGTCTTCAGGGATAGCAACTGCAGCATAGACGAGTCGGAGGCGAGGGACCTCGTTTGCAATGGTCTGCTTTACAGTCTGTGTCTGAAGCATTTCGTCAACAAAAATATAGACGAGGGACATCAAACAGGTAGCCCAGTATAGGCAGTTGGCCTCATCAAGCGTCCTCCCAAGTTCATCTTCTTTGGAAAACCTTTGACGCTTGGAGTTCCCGTCACGTTTTCGGAAAAAGACACGCTTGGCTACGACATGTGTTGCTGTGAAAATGGAAGATTGTGAAGTTGATGGCCCAGGTGTAGCGCTCAATGAAGTAGTAGTATGCAAAAGAGCCGGATGGCATGTTTTGAAGCTTCCGGCAGTACCTATCATTGACTTTGCATCGGAGTCTATGGAGATTGAGACAAGGTCGAAAGGGGAGGACATGACGTCGAGTGGAGTTGTGATAATGTCTTGAAACTTGACGGAGCGAATTTGGTACACTCGGAACATGTTCGAGTTGTACTTGCCTGAATAAATCATGTATTAGTGAAATACCACGTTGAAATGCTGCAAAACCGTACAAACAGCTGAAGCTTGTTTTCGGATGCTTCCCTGAGCTTTCATGGCAGCCTCAAGTTGTCGTTGACTGGGTAGGAAAAGCCGTGGAGTTGCAGGTAACAGGCTACTGATGTGACTGGGGAGATGTGTCTCTACCGCCGACATCGACATCGACAACAGAGATCGAGAGGTGGTAGACTGTTCTGGATCCTGCTCCGAGTCATTAATCTCAATGCCCTGCATTTGGTAAGTAGTACTATGATCATTCTTTTCAAATTAACAAAATAAATACGTGTTCAATGCAGGAGTACGGTGAACATACCTCCTTAACACGTTTATGGGCTCGGCTGCTAGTTGGGCTACTAGTAGTGTGACTGGGGCTGCGTGGCTTCTTCAAGTGTTGACTCTTCAATCCTTGTTAGTTAATTTGGTGCAACATCATAGTAGGAATGGACGGACTGGTAACTCAGAGTGCGTAGTGTTGCTTGCCTCATCAGTTGCATAGACAGGCCTGGGTGGTGATGTGTGCAAATTTGTCTGTACGTCCTTCATCTCAGTGGCATCATCACGGCGCTAAAATCACTGCATTTAGCAAGACGTAAGTATTAATGACGAAGACCCACCAACTCATCAATTTGCTCCCTCCAGAGTTGGACACTTTCATACTGTGCGTTGTAGAAACAACAATACCGAGAGGAACAAATGAAAGCTCCTGACTGATATATTTGTGTTGTGGTCTTTGCACTGCCTAGTCTGCTATACTTGCCTGACAAGTGCGTTCGACCCAGGGGTCTGCGGTCTGGGAATAGTCTTGGGGGTAAGTGAGTGATGTGAGATCAATAGTTTGAGCGCGGGAAACAATGTCCAAAGGTATATTTACGATGTCCAATGCAAAAGCGTCGGGTTTGTCGGGTCGGGTATGCGGAAACTAATAGTGACGTGTTATGCGAGCGTCAGAAAAGCGAGCGGTATGCGTGATGACAACGATGATTGATACAAATAATGAAAGAGCGATGATATTCGCAATATCAACTAAGAACTACGAAATATCGGGTTTGACCACTAAGCGTCGGGGAACTGCTCCCCTCTACTTGGATAATGAATAATGCTCGAGGTCAGTCCAATATATATGTAAGTACGTAAAAATGCGGAACCCATAGGTGAAGGTAGTGACCGATGATTTCGGATCCGAAGTACATGTAAATAAACATGAGGCGCTGCGGACTATGGGAAAACATGTAATAGTGCTTGCTACGACGTGAGTAATGTGTGAAATAATGAACTACGCACCTAGTGGGGCTAGCAAGACAGGACAAGACATGGGAAGGACAAGTGCGTGGGAATTTGCATCGGCCGATGCGGCCTAAACACCAGGTTGGCGGGTTAGCGTCGGATAACATCGGGAAGTGATTAGCATGTGACGGGTATTTGACGTGTACTGTGAAATAGCTCGATACGAGCCCAGCGCCAGCTCGTGTCCTACAGCGTGCGTCATAATGAGAAGAATAGCAACCTTTGTGCTGGCATAGAATTTCAGGACCAAATCTTTGGTCGTAGAGCGAAGGAAGAAATCATGAAGTACCACTGCGTCAGGATCATACAATGGCTGCCTCGGGTCAAAGAGAAGCATCATGGGTGATTTATGCATCTCGAGACTCTCAAGGGTGAGAGAATGTTTGCGTGACCATTCTGTCCATGGTGACTGGAGATGCCGGATTATATCCAAGCGAAGTTCTGTTCGTGTGGTAGACAACGATACACGCATGTCTCGTTCGATGTTCTTCACGTTGAATCAGTAAAAGCAACAAGTGCATCATATTACAAGCCAAGACCTACCCCAACGAGCAAAGTGCCTGACTTGCCTTCCGGCTTTAAGTGATGAAGGGCAGCTCAGATTGTGACGATTTGGACACGACTGGATGATGCTGCACGAAGCATCTTGCTATGGTGTTGGTGGTGGAATTGATGGTTGGCTGTATAGCTGTCATATCCCGCATTCCGGACCAACATCCGACGACGTTCCCATGCCTCATCCGGACCTCCAAACCTCCTGTCCATGTCTCCAGACCCAATCCTCTATCCGTCCGGATCCCTGTACTCCTGCATCTAATATCCAGACGCCAGATCTGATATCCACATCTCTGGATCTCCGGATCCGACCTATCTGTCATGTCCGAACCCAAACCTTAAATCAGCGCCCATCCCCTTATGGTAATCACCTGTCTCCGGACTTCCGAACATCCGGACCCGACCCACGTCTATCTTCCTTGCGTTCCGGACCCAGACCTATCGCGCATTCATCTCCGGACATCCGGATCCGACCCGCGTCTATCTTCCGTGCCTTATCCCTTTGTATGTTCCTTCTTGAGTTAGACTTCCTCATTTTCCGTACCTCATTTCATCTCCGAGTTCATTTCCTATGATCCGTCTTATTTTCTAATACATTTCCACATGCTCATACATAGCCTTACCCCTCTGCTTACTGATCTGCACAGACTTGCCTCTAGTATATAAACCCCAGTAGATACTCCTGTATTTCCTCAGTCTGAATATCATACACATATTAGTCCTCGCACTAGTCTTCACACTAAGTCCTCGTAACAGTTCTATTCCTCCAAACTTAGTAATCATCCATCTCAGGCCTAGGGAGAAATTCCCTAGGCCGGAGCTCCGCTCCTCTGCTCCTCTGCTCCTCTGCTCCTCCGACCCTCCAATCCACCATTCCTCCAATCCTCCAAGTTTCCGGAAGTTCCTCCGGAACTTTCCCGCGGTCCTCCGGACCTATTCTGCTTCGGACTTTGTCCTTGCAGCCTTTCCTCTGTTTCCTTCTACTCAGGACTTGTCCTGAGTAGCCATTACACATATCCCCGTCAGGACGAAACTCCATCGTAATTTCCGGAAGTTCCTCCGGAACTTTCCCGCACTCATCCGGAAGTTTCTCGCACTCGTCCGGAAAGTCCTTCCGAAGTTTCCCACGCTCCTCCGGAAGTCCTTCGGACTTCACTGGACTTTCTCCGGACTTCATTCTGAAGTTAAGGGCACATACTCGGGTAAGGGGCGCAGCGCACGAGCTGAAGCCAAGCCCCTTGGAATCAGTCCTACCCTTTGTGCATGGTCTTAACAATAGCCATTTGAATGCCCTAGTGAGTTATCTTGGTACACGTCAGACATGCAACAATCAATTTGGAGTCATAAGTACACTTACAGGACGAAACCGGAGCAGGAGGTGGAAGCATTTGTCCTGGATTGCCGAGCATTTGTGGTGACTCAGAACTGAAGCACTGGCTTGGGAACAATCGTTCTGCAATCATCATGTCAGTGCAGATTTAACAAACAGAGACTATCAATGCTACTCACCGCCCCGTTGTGCTGCTGATGTAGCTTTAACAAGGGCCTCCCTCGATGCTCCCATACTTGTAAAATCTGAGATAAATGGTGAAGCTGATAAGGGCTGCCAATACTAGGAAGCGAAGTTGAAATTCTTACCTATGCCTGAGTGCTGGTTATTACCCATACCATGCACAGCATTGTTTTGCGCCAGCTCCGCAGCTTTGCGATCAATATAATGTTTTGCACAGGGAGGACAGCATGCTCGACCTGAACCGTTGTAGGACACGAGCTGGCGCTGGGCTCGTATCGAGCTATTTTACAGTGCACGTCAAATACCCGTCACATGCTAATCACTTTCCAATGTTATCCGACGCTAACCTGCCAACCCGACGTTTAGGCCGCATCGGACCCGATGTTTTCCCGCGCACTTGTCCTATCTGTGTCCCGTCCTGTCTTGCTAGCCCCACTAGGTGTGTAGTTCATTATTTCGCACATTACTCACGTCGTAGCCAGCGCTATTACATGTTTTCCCATAGTCCGCAGCGCCTCATGTTTATTTACATGTACTTCGGATCCGAAATACTCCGCCGCTACTTTCGCCTACGGGTTCCGCATTTCTACGTACTTACATATATATTGGACTGACCTCGAGCATTATTCATTATCCAAGTAGAGGGGAGCAGTTCCCCGACGCTTAGTGGTCAAACCCGATATTTCGTAGTTCTTAGTTGATATTACGAATATCATCGCTCTTTCATTATCCGTATCAGTCATTGTTATCATTGCGCACACCGCTCACTCTTCCGACGCTCGCTATAGCATTACTATTAGTTTCCGAAAGACCCGAACCCGAACCCGATAACCCGAAACCCCGAAAACATCGGACCCGACGCTTTTGCATCGGACATCGTAATTATACCTTCGGACATTGTTTCCCGCGCTCGGACTATTGACCCCACATCACTCACTTACCCCCAAGACTATTCGCAGACCGCAGACCCCTGGGTCGAACGCACTTGTCAGGCAAGTATAGCAGACTAGGCAGTGCAAAGACCACAACACAAATATATCAGTTTGGAGCCGTCTTCGTATAGTTCCTCTCAGTATAGTTGTTTCTACACCGTCCTTGCCACGAATATATTCAAAAGTCACTGACACATCAAATTGGACATTACAATGTTGACACAACCTTGGACCATATTCGTTGACTGGGGTGAAGTCCATGTTAAGACTTCGGAGCAGCAGAAAAGACTTTGGAGCAGTGGAAAAGACTTTGGAGCAGCAGAGCCTTGGACTCGGTGATGATGGAACATCATTTTTCTGGCTCTATATACTGCCAGTTGGCACTTGCAGATCAGCCAATGAATTGAAGGATTGCAATGTTCCATCGAAGTGCACATCAAATCATTGGACCCAGAGTCAATCATCAATCACAGCGTTCAAAGTCATGGTGAAAAGTCCTTCATGACACAAATAGTATTTGCAACCGCTGGCTATGATAGTTTATACACATATAGTCATAGTAACATACAAAATTATATCAAGGTTCATCGTCTGTCCAGTCAAACTCATAGAAATCAGACGACGCATCATCTGACTGCTCCTCCTCAGCATCTGAGTTATTCTCGCCACCAGGGCCGTTGCCTTCGACAAATGGTGGCAAATCTACAATAGGCAAGTCCTCGCTCCCGAGCATCTTATCACCATCACAAGGAAGTGGAGGTTGCGCAGCGAGAAGCTCGCAAATCTGTTCCTCCTCCTCGATCAAACGGAAACACATCAGTAGATCAGCATAGATGTTCCAGACGTGTGCCCAGCTCCGCCATGAAAGCAGAAGCCTGCTGAGAAAAGTCGTGCGGTACCAAACAAAAGACAGGATGGTCAGGGACAGCATATGTCTGTCATACAGCATCAAGCATAGTGCGGTCAACTTTCACCTAGTAGAAGGATGATGTCTTTGAGTATTACAAATTGATGAGATCCACAATAGCCAATACTCACCGAGAAGTCACAAGACTCAAAATCTTCGGCGTGATAGAAGATGTCGTTTGGACGGCCATGTGGGAGGATCTTGTGAATATTGTGACGAGGTTTGACATTATTAGACTTTTCAGCAAAGAGGTCAAGTTCATGCTGTAGCCACGGAATGAAGACATAATGAAAAACAAGCCTTTCAGATGTGTTCAGCACTCAGCGAGAAGAGAAGTAGTCAATGGGGTACTGCTACCTTTCCAAGGCATCATCGGGATTATAGATTCCATTATTAATACCATAATCAAGAATATCTTCAAATCCTGGGGTCCAGTGTCATCGGAGCTGACTCCAAAATATCTTGGGCTTGATGTTGCGATGTTGACCCTTGAATTTGTGCTGCAACGTATGGGCCAGTGTTGGATCTTGCATGTGACAAAGTAAGGTATGACCATTGGCAATGCTGTTGTTTTCGCTTCCAGGGTCGCTCTGCGTTACAAGGGGCATAGCTAGAGAAACCAGGTCACAGTTTACAAGTCATATATACAGTGAGAGGGCCATGCTCACCGCCAAGAGTTTCTACAGTATCACAATACCACCCACAAATAAGGCGGGGGTTACGGTTTGTCCACCAAATCTTGAGCCAGAGTACACGTCCTGAAAACGGCTCGATTGCAATGTGAAGATATAGCTGAAAGCGTCGCCACTTGTCATGCTGATTGAATACCCAAATATCGTTGACACCCGCTGTCCAGTATATACTTCTCTTCAGGCGCCGACTCTTGCGAGCTTGAATATCTTCCGGATGATAAAGATTCATGTAGCGAAGAATTAACTTTCTGTTGGCAAAACCTCCACATCATAATGCAGAAATATGACCAAAAAGACTGTGCACCTCGAAACAATGATCTTCTCTTCATGTATGAGAGTCTGTCTCATGTCATGCGAACCTTGCTTTGGGAAGCGTGCTCGTACACGCTCAATAGCCGGACCTATGCTTGTAATGGTGTGGGCTTGTCCACGCGCAGATTTCAGTCCCCACTGAGAGCACCGCTTTTTCAGGAGGTCAATCCTATAAACGGAGAAGATATGTAAGGTGTGCTTTTGACTGGAAGAAAATAAACAACTCACGAAACATTATATGCATCAGTATCATAATACCTACGAAGCCGAGTTACAATCTCGGGGTTATTGTACCCTTTTGCAACAAAATCCTCAATTATCAGTCTGATGAGAGCATCAGGAGCTGTTGAATGAGATATATCAGTTTCACATGAAGTACTAGCACATATGTGCTACTCACGAGCAGGAACTCGACCATTGTGTCCAAACATATTCGGCATCTGTCTGAAGCGTGAAAGCAACTTGAATATGATAAGAGAAGAGTTTTATCCACCTTTTGAAAGCACGCGAGACTCTGTCCGAGGGTTTGAATGAGTCCTCGGCCAAGACCAGTGTCCCTTTGGCAGGCAATGCACTCACCTCAACTCCATAGTATGTTCCGTGAACAACGCACCACGGATGCATCAATGAGGATCCACTGGCAGCCCAGTTAAGGAAGTGCAATCAGTCGATCGGGACTACAGTTGCGGTACATTTGTGCGTCACTCGACTGTGACAGATTGCAATTAATACTCTGGATATACAACAATATGAACAGCGGACTATGAAAAATGTATGCGGCATGATGACAAATCGAACCGTCACCAAAGATCCACCATATTCGTCAGGGTATATGCATTATTTTGAATCGTCAACAATACTTACTACTCTGCAATCTTGGAAGCTACTTCTACTTCTCTAATGGATCTGTTGGGGCTCATAGATATTAAGTTCCCCATGATCATGAGGAAGGAATGGACATGCACACATAGCTCACCCATGCAGCAGTTGGTTCAGGAAACACGCTTCTGACTCCTGACCCCCAAAAACGGGCGAAATATGCCATTAGACTTCCGCCTGTGAATGCTGGCCGAGGCTGGTCCAGGATACATGCTGGAATTCCGCAACGATTGGTTGTTAGCGCTGAGGTGACGAGTACCGCTGTAGAGACTCATGCCTCTCATGGTGTGATATGGCACTTTTCACTAGGGAGTTCATTGCACGAACTTGCAGCACCATTCTGTGTGCTATCTGCAGCTATCCCTATATGAGGCGCAGCTTTCCCGCGCACCATTCCCGCGCTTTACGATGTATACGCGCGCGCGCTTTCCCGCGCTTGGTCGCCCTATAGCACCAGCCTTCTGGAAGCATCCATCCACTGTCCACCAAGCTCTCTAGTGCGTGTATTTCCATTTCCCTTATTTACATATCATTCCACCTTTATTTATATCATGGACCCTTACTTACATACATATATCTTTACATACCTTACTCGGTAGTGATTCGGCTCTGCATGACAGCGCTTAGGCGCGCCATATAAGCACCAGCATTACATACTGAAAGGAACTTTCGAACTTTGAACTCTACCTCACACTTACCACCCACATACTACCTAGGAGGACATAGTAGAAATCTATTCTTTGACACCTCGCGCTCGTATCTCTTGTCTAGTATCTAATCACCACTTAAGCAAACTCACTCTTACTCTCACTTGTTTCCACTCACGCGCGCGCGCGCTTCCCGCGCCTCGCGCGTACCTTCGCTTTCCCGCGCCTCGCGCGCACCTGCGCGCTTTCTCGCGCTTCGCGTCAGCCAACCAGTAGCGCCTTCGGCGCGCACTACTAGATCCTTGCTGCACTCGCTAGTGGTGCCGAAGTTCGGTTCGGTCGGGTTCATTGCCCTATATCTGCGAACCCCGAACTCGACCATTGGTCAGGTTCAGGCCAGATGGCTGAACCTAGGACTGGACCCCTTCGAACGCATTCGCAAGAGTTCGGTTCGGGTTCAGGACGCGTTCGAACCCTCGAACCGTTGCTTCAATTTGCAAAAAAAAACAATGTGTACAGTGTCAATAGCTACTAGGACCCTTCCTTCACAATGCGGTTATCATACGGAGCGACAAACTCAGCCTGGGCTGTCGCAGAGATATGCCCTTGACGGTATGCACTCTTGAGCAATTGAAGAGCCTCGAATGTTGTTGGTTGCAAGCTGCCGCGACGTGCGGTCCCAGTAATGCCGCCGCTTGAAAACGCTCGCTCGGACGCAACAGCCGAGCCCTGAATGGCCAGGTAGTCCTTCGCGATGCGGGAGACAGTCGGGTATTGCACAGAATGGTGCTTGAAAGTTTGTTAGTATGCAAGCAACACGAATAAAACAATGAGACATACCCCCCACCAGGCCACTACATTGTCAACATCCTCAAGCGGTGCGTCCAGATAGTCCTCGAGTTCTTGACGAGGCCTTCGCGTGGCTGTATCATTCACAATACGTGATTTCACAGAGTTGCGCATCCAGTTATGGCCATACGAGCCTTGGCGAGCAAGTGAGGGAGGTGCAGTAACAGACGGCCCTACAGGAGTCTGCGAGGAAGTACTAGTGTTATCATACATATTGAACTATGTAATATTACGTTTGGGTGCAGGGGCACCTTGAGGAGGTCCTGCAGCTGACCGTTTGGCCGGGACACTGCTAGCAGTCTCCCGGATCTTCTTCGTAGGTTTGGTGGCTCGACCCGAACGGCGTATGAAAGAGTTAAGAGTGCCGTTGTGCGCAGGGGGGGGAGGGAGAGGGGGAGGGGGTATTGGGGAGTCATCATCAGCGTCGTTGTACCAAACTATCTCAGTGGCATCTTTCAGTGAGCCGTCAGCGCGACGTGCGGACGACATGGTTGCCGAACTTGTGCAACACATTAGTGTATTTTAACTAAATTCAAAACCGTTGCGCACCTTAAAACGCCGAGACGTGAACATTCCGCATCATAAAACACCGAAGTTCGAACCAGTGGCAAGATTGCCAACTCAGAGGTGCCAAAGCATGGCAGAAAATAATTATGGTGAATCGCAAGCACGGACAGTACATTCTGCGATAAATGACATGAGAAGTTAGCAACTAGTAGCAACCAATTGTGATGGACAACAAACTAGTTGTAAACTTACCAGCACGTTAGTGAGTCGCATTGCTGAAGACGCCGAGAAGAGAGAAGAACACGGGAGAAGGCAGAAGACAGTAAAGATGGGCAAGCACGATACTTGAATAGAATGCCTCACCCAAAACGTGAGGCTTCGCCGAAGTAGCACAGCGTTAGGTTCGAACCGGTCTAGACGCGTCTGGACCGGTTCACGTGGACTAGGATAATGCCGAACCTAGAACCTATCAGGGGGTTCGGTCCAGGAGAAATAACGGACCCGTGACTGAACCATCGGTCCAGTCCACAAAGGTTCGGGTTCGAACCTTGGTTCGGGACTGGACTGCGGCAGCACTAGCACTCGCTTCCCCTTTAGGGTCGAACGCACTTGTCGTCTCAAGTATAGCAGACTAGGCAACGCGCGACCTTACAACATTTACAGATACAGTCAGGAGCTTCATTAGTTCCTCTCAATATTGTTGTTTCTACACCGCATAAGTTGATATTTGATCACCAGAAGTGAGCGCAAGTAAGCGATGATTGATTTTCCAGGAGTGGAGATGTATCATATTGGATAGTGCCAGTAGGTGCCAGTGCAGGAGTTACTGTTGACTCAAATAAAGCTTGTAGTGGCTGGTACAAAGATTCGGAATTGTTTTAAAAGACTTGCTCCAGGTTTATACACCGTATGAAAGTACATAGTAGGCCTCGTCTTCCGAAATCAGACCTTGCATGATGGCAAGAAGACAGCCGCAAGCCAGGTGGAAGCATTAGAACCTTGCGTCTCTAGAAAGGGTGCCGATACGGCAGCATTATTGTAACGGCGCCAGCGGCCCTCGAATGCCCTCGAATACAAACTTGTCTTTGTTCAGCTCAGTGGTTTCCTGCCATCACAAAAATTGCTTAACTAAGATGTTACCCGATTGAGACTGTTGTGCGCCACAGCGCTTGACAAGTCACTGTCAGGTCATGTCGGCGACATCCCGACCTGATATAGATACCTCATAATGACGTGCGTCTGCGATGTGTCTGTATCTACATGATATATGCAATACATTGTCGACGAGATCTACGCACGCTCGATTTTCTCTAAGTCCTTTGTTTGGTACCCTTTGCCACTTTGCCACTTTTGCGCGAACATTGGGGTTGGGCTTGCGGCCGCCGCTTGCCCCCAACAAGTTGAACTCGAGCAACTCTTCAACCGGTACTTACCCACTGCTCTTCCCACCACCACCACCACCACCACCACCACCCTTGCGGCTATTGGTCATAGTATTTCTGTTCAAGGTAACACTTAGTAGCTCAGTCCACCCCTTCTCATACAGTGTACTTACTATCTCTAGACTCTCCACATAGCGTATCCGCATTCATTAGGTGAGTATATGCGCACTACTTCCATTCCAACGCCTCACTGTGGCCTCAGTGATGTCTTACCCTCATGGCAAATGGGCTTCCATCCCTTCCCTAACTTTCAAGTTCGCTGCATCGACCCTCTATCCGCAATCCCAGCCCACACCGTCGAACCGATACTCATATTTTCGACAGTCTATGGTATGACACGGCAGGGGTCGCAGTAGGTCTTGGCTATGGCACGAGCAAATATGTTTCAGAAAGGGTAAGTCACAAGCTACTTTGGGGGGTGTGGATTCTACAAATACTGTTTCCATCAAGGTTCTCGTCAACAACAAGTTACCGGCATCATCATTCAGAATCAGACAAGTATCAGGAGGACCCCCGCGAGGAGCTCGGTCCACGACAAACTGGCTACCAATCATTGTTAAATAAAGTGTAAGTCTAGGCGCACTTCCGGAAGCTAAAGAAGTAAGTCCATCACTACCAAGGGTATCTATTTGTCACATGTGTGTTTCAGTTCATGTCTTAGATCCCTCCCCACGCCGTATCAAATGCTATCCTTGATGTAGCTTTTGCGGAAGAAGCTCCCATCGCAGTATCTCAATAGCTGGCCAGAATGTTTCGACGCTGATGGTGCTGTAGCCATGTCTCACTCAGTGGGTGTGTGACCTCATATTTTGGCCTGCTGACCCAATGCTGATGGTATTGCGGCCATGTCTCACTCTCAGTAGGTGTGTGTGAACTTACTGTCCCAGTCTCGACTCCTCCGGCTGTCCCACCTCCCTCAGTGCCAGTTCCAACCTCTTCATCCACTGCGCCTCGTCGTTCCTCTTGCGCACGCATCCCCACACCAGCAGGGCAGTCATATGCGGATGAGCTTGCAGCTTCAAAGGCCCGCCTGATGGCTCTCCGTCACAACCGAGCAGACCGTGCCGCTGAGAACTCACTTCGTGAGGGGGTGGTTGCAGTTGAAAACCTAGAGGGACTTCCAGAGGATATCACTGACATCGAGCCGAACACTGACATGTCGGAGGTCATGGCGAATGCGTGCATTGAGGAGCACGCGCATGTTGCTATTCGAAGCACGAAACCTTTCCTCATGTACGTCAAAGGCCGAATCGCTCACCGCTTCGGGATCAAGAACTTGGGGCCTATCATGAAGTTTCTTGGCATTCAGTTCGAACGCTCTCATTCCACCCGCCAACTTTGGATGCATGGTCTGCTCTCTGTTGACTTGTTGGTCTAGTACTCATATCTTCGATTGCAGGACTCGTTTTCACTCAGTTCCCGCGCTTTCATGTTTTTGCGCGTTCGTCATGGACTCATACCTCGCGACTCACATTCTCGTCGTCTTCCTGATGCATGCTTTTTAGGGACTCTACACTACATCGACTCGCGTTTTCATACATTACACTGTATTTTATGTTCTTGTTGCATCGTATAGATACAAAATACAATGGATTACATGGATATATCTGAATGATTTACTATGTCTGAATTATCTACACGGTGAACAATGTCACAAGCTGAAGTACGACGTAGATGCACATGTTGATCGAAGTTAACATTCCCTAGGATGACAAGACATACCTGGGCCGGCAGCTGATATACCTGGCAGCCCTGATACCGTAGGCATGACCATACATGGCCTTGTCTGAGTTGAGCAATTTTTGTGATGGCATGTCCTCTTGTGCCGCTAGTAACCCTCGACGAAAGCTGGTTGGCGCTTGATTTTGTTCTCAGCGACGTCAGCGTCTGGTCCGAAATCGTCTTTGGCCGAGATGTAGCTGTTAAGTACGACCGACCACCATGCCTACAAAGACACCATGTTTACTCGGTGCGATATACCGGCAGCTGCAGTGTTCTGGTACTGGCCTATAGCAAGCAGCTGTGCCATCTTTCAAATTGCTCAATTTCCAATATGTCTATCAGGAGCTCCATTCTGATGCGGCCGGGTCCACCACCTGCGTGGCCTTTCTATTGACAAGGCTACGAACGTTTACCAGCACAAGGTCGTCCCATCGTCCTCGCTCTCGTAAAGTGATTCGAGGCAGAATCATGGCGGAATGAATGAGGGGCCTATACATATCAATATGAATTCTAGGTCAAGCACATGTACCTGAGTACCTCGATGTAGCTCGCTTAACTTCGAACTAAGCACATGAGGAATCAAAGTCAAACTATCAGGCAAAAGATACGATTAACGATGAACGTACTCACACACCGGCGGTTTTGGAGTTTCGCACTATGCAAGATTTGTTTTGAAATGTTAATGATAAAGTTGGCATTTTTACTATACATTTTGACACAGTAAAAATGGAAAAATTGGATGAGTGGGGGCGAAATTCTACATTTTATGAATCATTTTGACATTGTAAAAGAAAGACATTTAACCGACAGCAAGATCTGAAGAAAAATGATCGAACATTTTGATTCAAATTTTACATGGGGTGAGATTTGAGGAAAATTTGAATAAAACACATTTTACCTGTTGGAAAGGAATTTTACCCCGATATAAGATTTGAATCAAAATGTTCGATCATTTTTCTTCAGATCTTGCTGTCGGTTAAATGTCTTTCTTTTACAATGTCAAAATGACTCATAAAATGTAGAATTTCGCCCAAGATTTATCCACTCATCCAATTTTTTCATTTTTACTGTGTCAAAATGTATAGTAAGAATGCTAACTTTATCATTAACATTTCAAAACAAATCTTGCATAGTGCAAAACTCCAAAACCGCCGGTGTGTCAAGAGAGGAAGGATTAATGTCGTTGGTACAGTTACCATTTATCGTGGGAGTCGGGAGTAATACTAATCCACTCAGTTTCCAAGTTCGAACTTCCAACGCAACGTCATGCATCATTATGGTCCGGGTCTTTGTTGCTTATTCTCCATGTGTTGTGTTGTCTAAAACATAGAACATTAAAGATCGGCAAGGATGGCTTTGTGCATTTCACCGTCTAAGATCTTTGTCCCCCTCGAACATACTTAAGTCAACCTTTTCTCTCCACTCGGCTCTAGCAAACAGCATGCAGAAAGTCCAGAAGATGACAGCAAACTGGGGAGTCGACGTCCCAGATGCACCACGAAATATAGTGAGTGATCAATTCCGCAAATTACCAGTACTGGTGTCATGACAATCGTCAATCGTTTCGTTTTAGCTGATGCATTCACGAGTGGTCATACCAGTCTGTTTATTCATTCTCTATTTCAGATGTATCAGAACTGATGCCATATTGATGATGATAAGATCCCAGGCCTTGGTACCCCGTATTGCAGGTCACGAAAGTTTAGTCGCTCTGCCCTGGAGCTCAAAGACCAGGATATCAATGCCATTATTACTGAACGACATCAAGAGTTGGACGTGGTCTCGCACGAGACCTTGGACCTCGCGCATCCTGTCATGGATAAAACAAAAGACCTTGGCCAGCAGCTTGCGAAAAAGCAGGACAAAATCATTGAGTCGGCGAACCTGGACAAGGGACTTCGATCGGCTCTCGAGCGCTCTCCAACTAAAGTTTTGTCCAAGATTTTTGACTACTATCTTATGGACAGCGATCATCTGAGCCGCAGATCAAACCCGTCTCCCATGCAGTTAGCTAGAGTATGCCGCCGATGGAGGGACGTTACTGAGGGCATGGCCAACTTGTGGTGCAAACTCTCTTTTGACGTCGACGATGACCGCACCGAGTGGAAGCGGTCAGTTTTCTACTATGATTCATGGCTCAAGCGATCACAAGATTATCCACTCTCGTTACAACTCCGCCCTGGATACGCCGAAGGTGGGACGGCCAAATTACGACAGCTTGTTCAACCTTACATGAGCCGAGTCTCATCTCTTGATATCGTATTCTGGGACGACGTTGAACCAGAACATTTGCTAGAAGACCTCCCTGCAGGACTCCAGGAGCTTACCGTATGCTTTGGCGACTGGTTCGATGCTTCAGCCATTGCACAATCTCTCTCGCAGCTACCATCCACTGTGCATAGTCTCAAGATCATAGACCGGATATTTGGCCCGGACTGTTTACATTCTCTCGATCCTGCATGGACCCACCTAACACACGTCGAGATCGCCATTCGTCCGCGAAATGTGTTCCATTTCCTCTTTCTATGTCCCAACCTCTCCTCGTGCGAGCTTATCTTAAGTCAACCAGTGTCCATGGATACTCGTGTTCAGTGCATGAGGTTTACGCATGCGAATCTTCGATCCTTGTGCATTATTTGTCCCGGGCGCGTCGAATCTAACCCACTCCCTATACTGTTCAAAGCACTCACACTCCCTAAGTTGCGCACCCTCGAAATTCGCTATGGATTGTTGTCGTCCCCTCATGAAGAGTTGCTGACGTTTCTAAAACGGTCGAAATGTCCCCTGGAGATCCTGATTTTCGACGCTGTAGTGGTACCACCGCCGGAGCAGCAGGGCGATTTTATTGCCATCATTCCTACCCTTAAAATAGAATGTAGGCTCGATATCGATACCAACTAAACTCTGTACTATGAGGCATCATTTTGCTCCGCACATGTGATCACGTGATTATTTCTCATCCCAAACTAGGGTTGTACTATCATTGAACCGCCTAGCTGTTGTTTGTACACACCCTCTGACATTCAATATTCGATGTGGTTTTCTCGTAGCGCTTGCTGCATCGAATGAGTCTATATGGTGTCTACTCCCCCGAAGAACAAGCTACCGAGAAAAATCGCATGCCACGGAGCAAGGTGAAGGTCGGCAGGGCCGAACGAACTCTAGTGAAAAGTAAACTTGTGATCGATGTGATCCCTTGATGCGGCGGCTTGTCACATGTCATCGCTCTGGTTCAAGTCTGCGAAGAGAATGGCTGTGAAGAATTTGATCGAAATTGCACTAGTAAAGGTTGGTTCCGTTTTATTTGGAGCCCAATGTGTCATGAACTTGGTGTTACTGACGTCATCTCAATCAGAGCTCCTATAAGTACGTGCTCCCCCATTATCCTTTCTGCTCCTCCTTCAACACAAACATGTACTTCAGACGTTCTGTCTATGTTATTCTCCTCATCGGTTCAGCATACGCATCGAGCTGGTTTGGCTCTGACCCTGAATATGACAAATGGTCTCATTCTGATTTGCACTCCTGGCTTGAAGACCACCACATTAAGGTCCCCTCTCATTTTGATCAGTCTCAGCTTCACGACCTCGTAGCGGCGAACTGGGCTTCTCCCCCTCCTCCACCCCCGTCGTTTGCTGAACAGTCTCGTGCATACGCTGACGCAAGCAGGCAATGGAGCTACGATAGATATACTCGTGCTCAGCACGCATTCCAGGACTTGCAGGAGAATTCCTTCGACACCTGGGACGAGAGCAAATTGAGAGCATTTCTGCTCGAGCATGGTGTGGTAGCACCTTCTGGACCCCGCGAACAGCTTCTTTTGCTTGCTAAACAGAAGCATCGCTCCTATGTCAACGCCGCATCATACTACTCTTCCCTTGCATCTGAAACCGCCACTTCTGCATACTCCGATGCTACAGATACATTATACCACGCGTCTCAAAGCGCGAGCAGCATCGTAGCTCAGGCTACCCATGATGTTGGTCGTGCTTTCGACGACAGCAGGGACTATGTATACTCAGCTTGGGATGATAGCCATCTCAGATCTTGGCTCGAAGATCACGGAGTAGTTGAAGCTAGAAAGGCTAGCACCCATGCTGAGCTCACCAAACTCGCCAACGACTATTGTCGTACAGCTGTAGAGCCAGTATGGAACGTCTGGAGCGACTCGTATGTGGTATGTATATACCTGCTTCAGAGTTGTGGATTCTCTTGACATGTTTTGAAGCGCGAATGGCTGGTTTCGCATAACCTTCTTTCACCTTCCGATACTGCATCACGCTCCACCTTACTTGGGGAGATGAAGAAGTATTATTACTCCTCACCCGACAAGGTTTGGAGTGTTTGGTCTGACAGTGAACTGAAGTCTTGGCTCGTCAAGCATGGTCTCCTCGATAGTGACGCACAAAAGAAACGTGATGAACTGGTAAATATGGTCGAGTCAGTAGTGCGCCTTCATCTTTTGCCAGATCCTAATCACTTTACAGGGACAACTACGCTTCTGCCTCCGATAGTGTATGGGATGCTTGGAACGATTCAGACATTCGTCGATGGCTTTCTCAACACGGATACACTGATGATAGAAACTTTGCGCAAAAAAAGCGTGATGAGTTGGTGAGCTTGATCGATAAGCAGTGCGTACCATTCCTCCGACGCGCTTTGATATGTGTTGACATCCTATTTAGATATAACGACGTTTCTGCGCGCACTGCTGCATATCTCGTGTGGCCGGATGCTCGGTTACGTGCTTACCTTCGCGAGCGTGGTGTCAGCGAAGCTGCACTCCCCACGAATAGACCCGGGTTATTGCGTACGTGTCTAGATTTTCATCTGCTCTATTTGGTATTCATATATTGCAGAGGAGACTCGCATCCGCTGGGTCCAGACATCTAACCGTGCTGAGACAATCTTCACAAAGCTGAATGAGATCATTAACAGTGGCGTTGGCGCGGTGGAGGATAGATTGGCCAGAATTCTCGAGGTTGGTTTACGTGCGACTGTTTCCTCGTTCGAACTGACTCTTCATTAGCTCCTAAGTGGCCATTTGCACTACGCCTCCGAGAAGACTAGTGATGCCCGTGCTTACGCGGAGGATAAGAAAGATAGCGCGTGGCATTGGTGCTCTCAGAAGGGCGATCATGATGCGAAAGGCAAGGATGGCGATTATGCTGAGTGTGCAAAGAGGAAGGTACAGGAACAAGGATTTGATGAGAAGGTGAAAGGCGCTGCCGAAAGCATTAAATGGGGCGGGGAGAAGACGAAAAGCGCCGGCGATGAGCTCTAGACAAGCGAAGTACGTTAACTGTCAAAATCCTTTTCCACATATGCATTCAAGACAGTACCTATGTAATAATTCTGTAACATTGTATATAGTGTTGTATTTTTCTAAATGAATCTCCAGTCTCCCGCTGTCGTGGCTTTCACCAGATAGGGGTGCTATACATATCAGGAATAAGCAGATGTTTGATGCTATTTGGTGAGATAAGAAATTCACTCAGCATGATTATTTTTGACTTTCAACTTGTCGCAAATCGTAGGAATATGTTGGGGTGATGCGTTGATAGGATGTTTCCGGTGCCGGTGAGACCATATTACGTTCGTATCTGTGCCCCTGCGTTGTTTGCCAACCTTGCCCTCTTTCACCCCCACTAGGCCAATCATGACGGTAATCGCTCGTTTATATGTGATCCGACACGGGGAGACCGAGTGGA